TCCCGGCGCGATGACGACTTGTTATTTACCCCACAATTATCATCCCCCTCCCTCCTCCCTGCGGAGGCCCAGGGCGGGTCGTGTTTTCCTGTCGTCTCATCGCGAGCGAGGGGAGGAAGGGGCGGAACGCCTTCGACTCATTAACGCATCTACCCCTCATTCCTTTCGAGTAAACTCGGCTCCGCCCGTCGTCGCCTTCTGCTTTAGCGCCGCGCGGTCCGGCCGGGGCCGGGCGGCATAGGCCTAATGCTACGTTGACACTTTTTTTGTGTGTTTTTTCTTTCTTTGTTTCTTTCAATTTCACTCCAAACGCTCTGCTTCTGCTGCTGCGGTGGCCGGGGGTGTGAATGGACCAGATGCCGCACGGCTCGCTTGAGCAGCAGAGGAAAACCCCACCACCCCCGGAGGCTCCTTAAACAAGAGTTTTTACGGCGCGAGCCCGGGGCGGTCCGGCAGGCACGCGACAGACCAACACTGACGCCAAGCTTTTTTGCGACGGGCAGAGAACTGCAATAATACACTATACTGCACCGGAAACCCAAGTGGGTGAATGTCGCACACTTGTAGGTGCGTGAACGCCATTCGTTGACATGGAAGCAAAAATGTGATAATTTTCAAAGAAAAATTCACGAAAAGGGAATTCACACACCTACAAGTGTGCGACATTCACTCACACACTTGCGTTTCCAGTGTGCAGTGTGACGATGGGGTGGTGGACACAGGGTGTCCGTGCTACAGCCGGGCCGGACACATACAGGGTGTCCCTGCTATTGCCGCCCAGAGGCGCTAATTAATCGGAGCTGGCTGGGACGAACAGAAAGGGGGGGGGGGGGGGTTATTAGCCAGTAAACGCCCCTGCCGGCCTCCCGGGCCCTCCGGGACTAGTAGCGCCGGCCTATACGGCATAGCTATCATGGCCACCTCTCCGTGTTCCGGACGTACATGTGTGCGCCGTGTCCCCGGGTGCGACCGGACACGCTCAAATACCCAGCGCCAATCGACTACACTATACTGACTGAGGACGATACAAATGTCGCACAAAACATGATCCAAAATGTAAAACAATAAATCTGGACTTCTTGAGGGGACTCGCTATGGCTGTCGCGATGATAATTGGCACGGCGGTGATAAGAAATCGTCCGGAATCCAATCTTCGTCTTAGCTACTCTCACCGTAACACGGGCGGCACCCCCCCCCCTCACCCTGCCCCCTAAAGAAGGCGGTGGAAAAAAATGGGGGCAAACATTTTCTTTATTTCAGTAAAACACGGTCGAGGGAGAATTCCAGCCCAGCAGAGCCAGCGTCGGCGGACTGCGGGGGCTAATAAGAGCGGGCGGCGGACATCCCATGTCTTCCGTTATTTGGCGCCCTCCCCCCACCTCCCCCCTCGTTCTAGCCCCGGGCCCCAGCCGGGGAAGGCCTCTCCTTCTGACCATTTTGTCTATTTCTTTTTGCAGCTCGATGCTCTCGCTCTTTCGCCCCCTTTCCCCACACCCCTCTCTTCTTTCCCGATGCTTTTCCATCTTTTTTTTTGGTGTGTTTGAGGGAGAAGATAGTCAGGGAGAGAGAGAAAGAGAGAGGAAAACCGTCTGATATCGAGTTTGCCTCGTGATGTGTGGCCGACACTGAGGCTCTGAAGGCATCTCTCCAGGATAGTTTGCACAAAAAAAGTAAAAAAAAATATAACGAATCCAGTGTGGGGGGGGGGGGACATTGGCATATACTGGCAGGCAAAGCGCCTGAAGCGGTAGGCAACCAGCACACAAGGATGCGGGCGGGTTGCCTACCGGTGAGGCGCTCCCCGGTGCAGTGAGCCGCCTGCGCGGTGGGCAACCTGCATACACGGCTACACGCGGGTTGCCTACCCGTCGGGCGCTTGCCCTGGCGCTCAGCCGCCTGCGCCGTAGGCAACCTAGAGGCACGGGTGCGGGCGGGTTGCCTACACGCCAGGCGCTCCCCGGTGCAGCGGCCGCAGACGCGGTGGACAACCAGGACTCAGCGGTGCGCGGCTGTGTTGCCTACCCGCCAGGTGGCCTGCGCGCTGCTTTTGGGGATGCCAGCCAGCTCGACGCGGAGGAGGAGGGGCTGGAGCAGGACTTACGGCGTGTCGGCGCGGGGCGCGAGGCTCGACGCGAGGCGCGCGTTGACAGGCGCGCGGAGGGGGCGCCACCAGCGCCGCGCCACACGCCCGTGATGTATCACCTCCGCTCCCCCGCCCCGATAAAGCCGTTCCACCCTCGACCACCCTGATAGGCCCACCGTGCCCTCAACTACCCCGCTGAAAAAGCATAAAAACAAAATGAAAACGAATTTACGAATGTTAAAAAGGAAAACTGCTCGCAAAGTCGTCTCGGTGTATATGTATATACATTTTTTTCTGGGTTAGAGAAAAGCAGTAGGAGCTGCAGTGGGTGACAAACAGGCTGACGCGGCAATATGCGCGGCACACGCCCACCTCTGAGCCCCTCTCCCAGCCCGCAGTCCGCCCGCCTGGCGTCGACACAACTAGCTCAGTACCCAAGGTGTCGCGCCAGTGGAACACACTACTGACCTTTTCTCTCCCTCTCTCTCTCTCTCTCTCTCTCTCTCTCTCTCTCTCTCTCTCTCTCTCTCAGTCAAGTTCCGTTTCTCTCGGCGCTGCGCGGGAACACTGCCCTGCTACCCTACGCGGCCCTGGGGACCCGGCCGACTAAGGCGCGAGCCTGGGCGGGGCGGGGTCGTCCTGGAGAGGGGCCTATGCAGTCCCCCCGGGCGACCCTATTACACCCTTATCTCTCAGCATTTTCTTACTTTCCTTTCTCCTCGAGCCCCGCGCGGGGCCAGCCCCGGGGCCCCCACCGCCGCAGCCCCATCGGGGGTGCATCCGCCCAGGCCGGCACGGCGGCGGGGAGGCGCTTGCCCGAGCCATTTCCGGGGGACACGGTAGGCTGCGTCCGGATCAGGGGGGTCCTCGCTGCGCCCTGGACTGGGGCTGGCCACACCCCTCCCGCCACCCTTGCGGACGCAGTCTGTACGGCAGTCGTTGTAGGGCTTCGGCTTGGGGCCCGAACTTGACACCCCTCGGCAGACCAGGCCGGCACTCGCAGCAGGGTGTCTTCGTGTTTCAACTCTCTATGTTTTTAAATTCTCGCGGGTAATCTTCTGAACAGTCAGTCAGACGGATCGGGACATAAGTCGAGTTGCATTAGAAATCTTTATTGCTGTCACTCAGGATTGGTGACCATAGTGAGACCGAAAACGATTGGAGTGCAATCCTTGTGCCCTAATTTCGCTCTGATAATCGTAGCGATTACTTGAAGTTAAAAACGAAATTTATAGGGCACGATGAGGACTCTATGATAGTTTCCCATTTCAATGCCGATGGGTGTACAGTACGTCGTCGGGGAGGTGCAGGCGCGGCGGGTGCGTGGTGCAAGGATCCTGCTATGCCGGAATGGGACGCTGTTGCGACGACAAGGCGTCGCGACGCCGGTACCGAGCGCCGCCCGGGCCGCGCCAAAACGTACTGCTGCGCGCAGCATTCGGCTCTGTTTCCGCCCCGGAACGCCTCCAGCACCGCAGCAATCTCAGTTCGCTCCGCTCCGCAGAGGAGAGTCCTCATGGGGAGCAGCTATGTTGTTGCAGAGAATGGGGCATAAATCACACATACGTACTCACACATACACACACACAGACACGCAGGCGCTCCAAGCCGGAGGTCGCTATGTGGCGTGGGCGTCGTTACATCGTACAGGTGGGGGGGCTGGTCGGAGCTGGAGAACCAATAATGTAGAAAAGAAAACTGCATATAAATCGATGCAAAACATCGACAATTCATCAAACATGTCACGTCCGAGCAAAGGTAACTATACGAATTGTTTCCTCCAAAAATAATGAACTGCTGACATGCAAACACAAACACACAGTAAAAAGCTATGGTCTTCTGCTGCGCCGAAACCCACACACACACAGTTGTTCCACGTGTTCGAGCAGCACAATCTTTCCACCACAACAGACAGCGAGTTACGAAATGAGTCATCACCATCATTCTCTTTTATCTCTCTCCGACTCCAAAACATGTCTGCTGCGGAATCCGAGTGCAAAGTACCCGAAAGTACCCGTAATAGCCGGCAGGTGGCGCCGTCGGGAGGGTCGGCCCCGGGTGGGCCCCGGTGGGCCCGTCTGGCTCGCAGCCCCCAGGTTATGAGCAGCCGAGCAGCTCCCCGAGGGCCCTTGCGCCGTGCGCGCGGCCGATACCGATAGGGTCTTGACCAACAGCTAGAGAGCTCAGCTCGGCCCCGTAAAAGCGAAAAGCTGTACAGTACCATACCAGCACCGGGGCCGGAGCTGGCGCACAAAACTATTGCCGACGCTGCATCATGGTATGGGTACGGTTTGATACCGCCATTGGCCAGTATTGGCGTCTGCGGCCGCAGTAAAGTGTATCCATTCCGCGGCGCGCGGGATGATGTGATGTAGGCAGGACACGGAAAAAAACATTAGCTATGTAGCTAAATCTTGGCCTTAGCTAAATAGGGGATAACTAGCTGTTTAGCTACATAGCTAAACAAAATTCTAAGCCGATAATGTTAGTAATCTATCTTAAAATGTAGGGGTGTGCATTCAGCTAAGGAGCCAAACATACCAAAAATGGAGGCTTAGTAGCTAAACATAGCTAAATTTATGGCCACAAAGCTCAATAATTAGTTGTTCCCCATTCAGCAATTAGTACTTAAGGGCATTTTATTTTTTAGATTTAATTTCTATCCGACAAAGATCTTCCGCATACATTCGAAGATAGCAAATGTCGACTGTTTGGAGCAACCTTTGATATGGTTGCCACCCTGGTCGACGCGCTTTAATTTCGGATAGAAGTAGAGCCATCGCGGTGCACGGCAGGACGTCGCGGCGGCGCGGGGGGCGTCGCTGCCGGTCGCTGCGCCCCCCTCCCCCCCTCCGCCCGGCCGCCGCGCTCCGGGCTGCCCGGCTCGCTGTGCCGGGGCCGGGAGGGAGTCAGTCTCTCGCCCGACCCGGCACCGTAGACTTCGGCCCCTGCTGCCTCTCCGCCGTGAGCCCCGACCCGACCGCCGGCGCGGCGCGCGTATAGCGACACGAAGCTCGTCGCGACTTTTGGGCCGGAGGATTGTCGCGAGAGACAATTCCTGGCGCCCCGCGAGTACTCTCGCGCGCGCGTGTGTGTGAGTGTGAGTGAGTGAGTGCACCGGAGCTGCCTGCACTTTAAACCTTATACATTGGATACGTCGGCTGTGGATACCGTGAGGTGTGACAGGTAAGTGTGATTGTGAAGTAGACGCACCAAATAATCCCAGCAAGGTATTACAAGGATTATTCGACTTTTCATTATTTGAGCGAGTGAATAGAGGTTAATTTAGCGATTTCGGGGGCCTAATGGAGCCGTGCCGGCGGCGCATTTGCATATCCTCTGAGAGTAAAATCTCTGCCGCTACTCTGGGTAAAAATAATGTCGAAGGGGGGATAATTGGGGTGTAAAACTGGAAGAGTGCGCAGAAAAAAACAAAACACGAATGGCACTTGGCGTGGTTTAGAAATTATGGGGCAAGTGTAAAACAACGAAGGTCAATACGTCACCTTGATTGAACGATAGCTTAGCCTGTAGCACCATTAGCTTGGCCGAGAGCCGCCACTGCCCCAGCTCCCGACCCCGCCCCGCCCTTCCTGAGCCGTGGCGCTCGCCACGCTACGCTCCGCCACTCCCGGACCCGACCAAAGGGAAGGGGTAATGACACATCACACTGCAACCTTAATTAATAGCCCGACATTTACATGGCGATTTGCATAGGTCGTATATCAATTAGCTCGCAGGTAAAACGTACGCCGTGTGTGTTATTTCTTCTATGAGACAAAAACATGAATGCCAAATGAGGCCCATAATGAGAGCGAGCGAGAGAGAGAAAGAGACCATGACTCCAAGAGCGGCGCTCTCCTAAAGCGAGCTCATTTTACGAGTCGTTGCAGGCTTTATTGGATATCATAACGGACCTGTACATGGTCCGTAGAGCTAGATAGCGACTAGAGGGGCACATACACACGCTCGCGTACTCGCCATTTGGAGTTTAATGGACAATGGTTGACATTTTAAAAACTGTAAACTCTGTCGGTGCGGTGTCTTTCTCTTTGTCGTTGAAGTATCCCGCTGACAACTTTCCCGAAACAGGAGAAAAAGTTATTGCCGAGAGGGGGGAGGACCTGATGACTCCTTGACCCACCCCCCGCCCCCGGAGGGAGAAGAGTCCGCATCCACGGAAAGGTGGCGGTGTCCTCCTATATCACGCCGTTGCTACTACTACGCGGGGGGACGACTTCCTGCCTCACTTATTTTGGTATCGATTGGACAGCCTCTCTCTCCGCTGCCGCTGCCACCGTCGCCTGCTGCCGCGCTTTCCGGTGCATCGAGGGCGTCGGCTCGGCGTCGCGACGCCGCTCAGATTTATGGCGGGGCAGGGCGGCGCGCAAGGCCGCGTAGGAAGTGCTGCCGCCCCACCGCTGACACCGAGGCTGCGCGACTCGCTCTCCAAGACCACCTCGGAGAGCGGGGCGTGGCGGGGCGTGGCGGGGCGTTTGGCGGGGCATGGCGGGGCGTGGCTAGATATAGCATTTTAAAGT